TTTAAAAAATTATCTTTTTCTGGGGTTTATTTTATGCTTTTTATTCCACTATCAGTAAGTTAAAAAAAACCTTTATTTTAAAAATGTACTTCTTTATTAAAAGACATTAAACATTTTCTTATGAAAAACAACTAAGATGCCTGAAGGTAAAATTACATTTAGAGTTATACAATATGCTTATATTTGGAATTAGAGAAAGACTATGAAGGAGAGAGTTGAACAGTTAAGTTATGTCATCAAATTTTAAAAAGATTCTCCAAGGCTAGACGTGGTGGTACAGGCCTGTAATCCCAGCATGCAGCAGGCTGAGGCTGGAGTGTTGCTGTGAGTTTGAGACTAGCCTGAGCTACAAAGTGAATTCAAGGAAGCTTGAACTGTGTAGCAAAACCTTGTTTCAAAAAGGCTAAATAAATAAATAAAAGTTACTCCAAATGAATTTTAAATCAGATTTAAAATTCACATCAATATATATAATTAATATGTGTAAATAAAAAATAAGTATTCAATTTTTAAACCCATATATCTGTGGTATTCCTATTTTGGTTCCTTATTGCAATAATAAAATATATCTTAGAGAAGAACTGTACAATTAACTAGTAAATGTAACTCTAAAAGTGGTAAATAAGAACAGCCAGTTGTGAGTTTTCTACAAAGCATGGGCTTATTTAATGTCACAAGCCATTCAGAGAAATTTAGAGTCTGTGTATAGAATCAGTGATATATTTTACCCAAGTAATATCCAGAGAGTGACCAATATTATCAAAGCTAATAGATATTTACTGAAAAATAAAGTTTTGTGACCAAATATTCTCAGAATGTACAATGTTTTATTTTGGGAGAATTTTGATATTTGTTGCCATATTAAAGTCTCCAAGAAGTACAATATAGAAAAGAACTCTGCTTGGCTTGGCCTTCTTATCCTGCTCTTTACTCCTCGCTTATGTGGAACTCAGGTTGAGAAACGTTATACAAGCCATACAGTTGGGGATGGGAGCATCGTTTTGATTCCTCACTCAAGCCCTCCCTGTCTTTACTCTTCACATTGTCATTGCCATTATTTTGATTCTCAACACATCATCGTTGCAAAACAACATTAACTTTTCTTGCTTGAGAATCTTTTTTGTTTGTTTAAAGAGAATAAAACAAAACACAATACAACAAAGCAAATCAGAACAGAACAATACAAGCAACATAAGACTTCAAGAAAAGACCATAGGAAACCAGTAATGGCTACAATAATGTCTCTCATTTTCTTCAAAATAGCTGTCCATACCTTCACACAATAAAATCAAATAAAACAAAACTGAACAAAACAAGTCAAAACAAAAGAATGAAAGCATTGTATGATTTCAAAACAAGACAGTAGGAAATCAACAATGGCTACCATGTCTGTTATATTCTTTGAAATAGCTGTCCATACCATTACACATAATAAAACCAAACCAAAAAAACCAGAATAAAACCAATTAAAGGAAGGAAAGCATTATAAGACTTCAAAACAAGATAAAAAGAATCCAAGAATGGTTACCATAATACATCCTATTGTCTTCAAAATATCTGCCCATACCATCAGATAATAAAGTCTTAAAAGAACAAAATGAAACTAAACTTGACAAAATTATAAAAACAATACAAGAGTTCAAAACAGTATAATAGGTTACTATCTTCACCTGCTGGCATTTCCTCCCCTATCACTTTCATAATATCTATTGTACTTTTTGGATCTCACTAACTCCAGTTTTTTATGCTAAGGAGATAACTCAGTGTTCATCCGCATGAATTCAAATCATTTCATTTGAATGAAATCATTTCATTGAATCTGCATGAATTCAAATCCATTTCATCCAGTATGATCTCCAGTTGCATCCATTTACCTACAAGAGCATTGAGAGTATCCTACTTTTAGCTGGGTAAATTTCCATTACATAATACCATATTTTTCTTATCCATTCTGAAGTTGATGGGAAAGTTAGCCTTACTTTTTTTCTAGTCTCCTGTCAGGTGGAACAATTGTTTTCTCTCTTTTGATTTTCAGTCTATGAATTTTCTTTTGAGTTAAATGTGTTTCTTATATATAGTGTATCGATGGATCTTGTTTCTTGATCTGTTCTCTTATTCTCTTTTTATTACTGAATTGAGGAATCCTCATTAATGGTTACAACCACAATACATTGATTTGTCTCTGCCATGCTATCCTCCTGCTGCTGGTCCTCCACTTTTCCCCTTGCTTCAGTTTTCTGTCCTGTTTGGGAATCCTCCTCTGCTGCTGTTCCTGGAACCACGGTCATCTCTCTCTAGAATACCCCTCAGCATTCTCTGTAGGGTTGGTTTGGTAGTCATGAATTCCTTCAGTTGTTCTTTATCATGAAATATCTTACTTTTCCATCAGCTTTGAAAGATAGTTTTTCAGGGTATATCAATCTGTGTTGGAAGTTGTTTTCTTTCAGGATTTGAAACACTTAACTACAAACCCTTCTTGATTTGATACTTTGTGCTGAAAAGTCTGCCATGATTCTAATGGGTTTTCCTTTATAGGTGATCTGTTTCTTTTCTCTAACAGCTTTTAATATTCTGTTTTTGTGCTGAATTTCTGGGATCTTGATTATTATATGTCTGCGTATAGATTTACTTTGGCTATGGCTAGTTGGATGTCTGTATGCCTTGCTCATCTGAATGCCAGATCCTTTTCCCATGTTTTGGAAGTTTTCTGCTATTACGTCTGTAAATAGTCATTTTATGTCATTTATGTTGACCCCTACTTCTTCACTAACACCTGTCACTCTTAAATTATTATTTTCTGCATTGTCTTGTAACAGATGGATGATTATTTCCTTTTTCCTTGTATTTTAGAGATCTTTCCTTTCATGATCACTAGCTGTGATCCTGTCTTCAGGGTTTGAAAATCTATTTTCAGTGTCTTTCAAGTGGTTCTGCCAACTTTTGATTGACTTTTTAATTTCCTGGATCTCTCTTTGAATCTGTTTCATGTATTGTAATTCCTTTCTATATTGTTCACTCAAGGTTTCCATCATTTTCCTATACTCCTCTTTTTATCTGTGTCTTCTTTAGATATGCTCACCAATTCTTTCAGTATGCTTGTGATGTCTTCTTTTACCCGAGACATTATTGCGACCCAATTACTTTTAAAATGTCTCATGAAGTTGTTTCTTTACTTCAGTTGCTGTCCTCTCAGAGACTTCAGGTGTGAGACTTCCATTTGCTTCAATGACTGTCTCTCCCATACTTGTTCTGTGCGGGCTGGAGGTCTGAGATTACCTTTTGCTCCTTCATCTTGACATTCTCCTGAGTTCCTCCCAACAAGCCAGTTGTGGGGTCGCAGATACTTCCCACATTGCCAGCACCTCTGCAGTATGGGTAAATGGGACATGCACTTGGGTTTCTCTGACCCCAGTTTTTCAGAGAGGTAGCAGCACATGGGGCTGGCTTCTCCAGACATGTGCAGCTACACTGGGGCTTCCCAGATGGCCAGGGGGTGTGTGGTGGTGGGGCTGCCTCTTCTCTCAGCCTGTGTGTCTACACCGGGACTCCCACAATGGTGGGAGACACACAGGGGTGTATTGTCTGATTCTCCCAGTGGGTAATAGCTGCCTGAAGAAAGCAAGCGTCTCCAATAGTGGCCTGTGGGTGCATGGGGCTTATCTGGCCACATGTGCCTGCTCCTGCTGGCTTTTGGCAGAAAGCAAGCCTTCCAATTGAGAATCTTTCAAAAGGAATTGCATACACAATAATTTTATTATTCATGTTTATTTTTTAAAAACTGTTTCAGACTTATGTGGGTCATCCTGCTGGTCACTAAATCATTAAGTCATGATCCAGTACATTTTCAGTTTAGACTGCAGTCCTAATGTTTAGGTAGGGAGGGGGTTCTGTGTTCAGTTTTAGGACAAAGTTCAGTACAAGGTCCAGTACAAGTTTTAGGACAAAGCCATCAGCCACATATTACCTGTATTTGGAGAATGTTCCTGGAACTGTTAAAATAATGAAGACTGCTTGGGCAATTAGTTACAAAAAATGTTTCTGGTCCAAAAATGCTACATTAGGAAAATGGAAACAGAAACAAAAGCCACTGCAAAGACCTCTCACCAAAGCAGAGGTTTATTTTTGACTTCATGGAAGGAGAACAAGGACTGAACTGAAGAGTGAAAGTAGGACAAATGAAAGGACAGAACAGTTTTGATCTTCCACATAACTGACCCCAAAGCACACTCTATTATTATTATTCAGAGAATTATATGATTGTGTTTTATGTGTATAAATATTTGTAGATTTCTTGCTAGAAGGATAAAACCTAGCATGCCTTTATTTCATCATTTTTATGAATATAACTCGATGAGTAGATGGCAAATATGTTATCTTCATGAATAAGCTTAAGGTGAGATGTTCATTAACATTTGATTTTTGATAGTGAAATATACATAGAGGAACAAATATACAAGATAAAATGAAATATACATTGAATCAACATTTATTACTTTGAGATGACAAATGAACATGTCAAATACTTATTTTAAGACATATAGCTATTCAGATGTGCAAGCAGTTTTGAATAGGTACTTAGGGCGTGGGGGTACATGCCTGTAATTTCAGCACTTAAAAGGCTGAAAAAGGAGGATTGCAATGAGTTTGAGGCCAGCCTGGGCTACTTAGGGAGTTCAAGACCAGCCTGAACTATATAGCAAGACCCTGTCTTAAAAAAAATCACACACACACACACACACACACACACACATCATATATGGTAGTTTATTTTATATTATAAAAGATAATCAATTCTTACAGTTTATAGTTTGAAAGAAACTCTGTTAGTGCTGGATTTCTGAAAAAGATAGCTTCCTAGAAATGTTTTCATACTAATGAAGAGAATCACTTTTTATTCACTGTTATTTGCTTATGTACCTGAGTCACTGCTTTTGAAACTGAATGTGCAAATAATAATATTTGTGACTATTTAGAACTCTTTCCATTTCTCAATCTTCTAGATATCACTCCTATCCATGGGGGACCAAGAATCACCCAACCAAAAGATGAAAATACATTTTGAATGCACTTGGTTTTCATGGTGAAGTTCAAATTCTGATCTCATTCACTGCTCCAAGATGTCCAAGGACTGAACGTTGATAGAAGAGGATGGAAGAGAAAAGACCAAAATACAATGGAGCCTGCAGACCTCTTTTCAGGAGGCCCTCTGCAGGTGTATATGACAGCTATAGTTCTAGAGATTTCCTTTCCGGCAGTCATTATATACAAGGTGACCGGGCTGTCAATGTATTACTGGGAGAAAATGCTGCAAAATGCATCTGTTTGTGTGTAGATGGGGAGATCATACACAAAGAACTTTCCTCCAAGTTAAAAAGAAAAAAAAAGACTTGTTATATTTTTCAAAGAAACATTTTATACTCAGAATTGCTAAACAATGTTGAAAGACATCTAAACTTTCATGTATATAAAATAGTTTTAGATAAAGAGAATTACAAGACACGATGATATATTGGAAGATTCACTATCACCTCAATTTTTATCTTAAAAGATTTTTTTAAATGTGGCTTGTTTGTTTGTTTGTTTGTTTTAAAGAAAAGATTGGTTCTCTTAACCGCTTAGGTGCTAGTGGTCTTGAACCATGATACAATGTAGACAGTATTTATAACCTTGCACAGCATCTGGGAATAACTTAATTGTCAGATTTAACTTAGATTCATAGCATAGACTTATGTATAGTATGTATATATGTATATATGGGGGAGAGAGGTTTTGATTAGATTAATGCTTTGCTGCTAATCAAACTTTATAGTATTTGTAGAGCACTTCAAAGAGTTCACAAAATCTATGAGAGAGACATTTTTCCTTATTCTAAGTCATTATTCCTTACTACTAAAATTTCCTGCATTTTAAATTAATATTTATTGTTTGAGAATGTGAGATGAAAATAAGTTATATAATAAAATAGAAATTCCTTCTTTACTCATTGAGGCAGCCCAAAGAAAGAGAACTCGGAAAGCCACACAGTGTCCCTCTTGCTAAGCAGGAAGCATTTATGAAGAGAATTTACTAGTTTTTGATTGGCCTACGCTTCTCTTCAACTGGCTTATTATAACTCTAGTGTAATGTAAAGAAATGTCCTCATTGCCAAAGCAAACTTCATTTATTTGTACCTACTTAAAGAACAACTTATTCTATATAATTTGTAATCTGACAGCAGGAATTATAATCACTGTGTTCTGTATCTTTAGTTACATCTAAATATTTTAGCATGATTTAATGAATTTTAATATATGTACAGTGGTTAAATAATTTATCCTTTCTGTTTAGTATGCAATGTGAATGTATACCATTTTTAAAGTTAGTGTGTTTAATATTTCAGTGATATTCGAATCCCCTTTAATCATGCACTGATGCCTTTGGAGGTTGCCAATGAATCTTTCTTTGTCTTTAAGCCAAATTAAACATTAAAACATACTAATCTTAAATTGTAGATACAGATATAGTAATGAAAATATTCAGCTTGAATTTCAAGCCAATTTCAACCATATAAGCAATTATTACTAAATTTACTCAGGCAAAATTTTATTTCTACACCAACTTAATTTGAACCTGTACTGGCATTCTTTGCATTTTTTCAAGTGTGGAAATAACATTTCCTCCTCTTGCAAGAGGCACAGGCTTTAGAGCCACAGATTCTAATTGTGATAGATTTATTAATTTATTTAGAATTTATTCTAAGCCCATACTTGGAATAAACTAAGCTATGGGTTGAAAGTTTGAATAATCCAGGGTTTTTTCTTAAATGGTCATTTATAGTAAACAACATCTAAAAAAGAATAATATTTAGAAGTTTTACCTTGGTGAGAAGTAACCAATGACTTATTTGAGGTATTTAAAAATGTGTACATTTGACCTTATTAACCAAAAAGGGAGCAAAATATTATTAACTCTTTAAAGATAGGGAAATGGCATTTATTTTGCTAGAAGCCAATAAGAGTTAACAAAAATAAGCAAAAGAATGTCCTTTTCAACAACAGCTTTAGCCCCATCAACCATGATGATAAATGTAATGTTTGGCTAAACTAATGAAAGTGCTCTGAGTTCTCCCTCAGACTATCACAGTCACTGACTCCACTTCCTCACACTACAGGAGAATGTCCCTAAGAAAAAGTTAGGCAGTAGGTAGGGAACAATTTCCCACAGGGAGACACAACAGTCAAGTCAGCTTTTTTAAAGCTGTTAGGTTTTAACCTTCAGACAAACAGCACATCCCCTCACAGTAATAAACAAAAATGGCTATTTTGTTTTTATCCACCTGACAAAACGTCTTCAGAGCAAAGAAGTTGTCACTTAAACTTAATCGGCCTCATTATCTTTTCTTGATTGTGTTGAATTTTTTTCTCTTCCTCTCTTATAATTTTTAATGATTTGTTGTGGGATGACATCCCTGTGAATTCATTGAATCCATTTAATTCCCAGTGACCAAATATTTGTAGGGAATAGAATTTGAATTACTCTTTTCAAATAACTTGTGATACACAAATGCTTCAGCTAATTATGATTTAATCCACCATCTCTATCTGATTGTCTGTACGTGAAACTGTGATTTGCTTTTTAAAAGCAAAATGTTCCATTCTCAGGAAAGTGACTGCAGCCTGGGGTATTTACGTTCTGGTTTTTAACTTTGTCTTGTTTTAGATATGTAGTTTTTAAGTGCAGATTTTGGGAACAGTAACATGGACACTTGGGTCTACTACCTGTGGATAAATTTCAGAACCCTAGAGAAATGTCGCTTATTTTTAATGTGGGTGTTTGTGTGTCCGTGGGCAATGTGCCTGCTGCGTTCTGGCGTTCTAAAGCGGAACATAATTTAAAAACACTGTTGTGAATTTTGCTCAAATTATATAACTGATGAAGAGTTACGCTCTTCTACAGGAGCCATCTATGACTCATTAAATGCAAAAGCAAAGACTGGCTGATTATGAGCAATTTCAACAGTATCATCAGTTAATCAAAACATACTTAATATGTGTGAAGGCAATAATATTGGTTAGTCAATTCTGTCAGTATTAATGTGCACACAACCTACATTCCTCTTTTTGATTTGCTGAGTTGCAAAATGCATCTCTCTCTCTTTCTGTCTCTCTGTCTCTGTCTCTCTGTCTCTCTCTCCCTATCTCTCTTTTTGCAGTAGTGAGGCACTATGCACAGTAAATATGATGGATTCCTTTAGAAATGACTTTAGCTTCTTTCTAAAGGGAGACAGGAAAAAAGCAAAAAAGTTCTTCTGAAGCAACTTTTATTGTTTGCCTTTTACCTTTTTTTAAAAAAAATTGCAATATTCAAGCACAATCTTAACAGGAGAGGCAGTGTAAAGCAATGTGGACTAAAACAGCTTCTCAGCACCTTAGAGACAGAGCTATGAATGTCTCCTAAGCAAGGGCATCTTCCTGTTTCCTAGAACTGTCCAAAACTAAAATTCTTCATGCTCAGTGACTGAATGTGACAACAACCATATCTTATATGCACCTATATGATATGTCTCATTGTGTTACTTATTCTTTGGAGAAAGTGACATAGTTTTGGGTGGATTATTTTTCAGTTGAAATGTGCTGCTAACTTACACTTACCCCTCAGTGCCTTTTTCATATTGATCAGCAGACACAAATGTCTCAGGGAAACAACTTCTGATAAAACAATTCTTTTATGTATCATTATAGTAATTGCAGATTATAAATATGACTGTTGTGATAAATTATAGTCCTCCTATGATATTATTTCAAGTTTTGCAGTAGGGACAAGAAAGAGCTCATGATTTTTATAAGTGATTGATGGATACTGCTAATTTATCAGTTCCTTGGATCTGTAGACAGTAGGATTTTTTTTTTGAAAATGGTTCTCTCTTTTATTTCTTGGTTTTTAAAATTTATTTAGAGAAAAAAAAGCAAAAAATAAAAGAGTGTCATTGTTTGATTGACAGTAGTTATTTTTAAAGCTGAAGATGACACAGCTAAAGTCATAGTGGGATTCTTCTGAAGGGTGTGCTCAAGTTTTTACTATAAGTATGCAGCATTTGATTAATAACATAAAATTTTAATATAGTTCATTATTTTATCCTAACTGTAGATGGAAGAACTTTTAATTGAAAATATGACTACTCATCTAAAAGCAAGAAGTTGTTCTTTTTATCTCTCTTTGTGTTTTAAAGCTTTCTTTGCATTGTAACCAGCTACTGAATTTAGAATTAATAAAACTGTTATAACAAATATATATACACACACATATATATATATATATATATGTGTGTATATATATATAAAATCTAAATTAAATGTAAATCTTTTCTCCAGTTAGGAGTTTTATCTTTATGGAAAATTATGGCTAATTGCCATTTGACAGATAATCAACAAACCTGTTTAGACTCTTGGAATTGATAGGGTGAGCTTACATATGAAAAACATGTAGAGAATTTTTCCATCCAAAAAGTAGAGAAAAATTTGTAACAAATTTTTCAAACCAAAATGAATAAATACTTTTAAGTTCCTTCGTACTTTTAAATCAGATTGTGAAAGTTACTTATAGGATGATCTTTTTAAACTATAATTTAGGCATACATTTCAGGTCTAGATTCTGAAAAAGAATCTTGTTTGTTAAATAGCTATTGAATTTCAGCTGAAACCTGAATCGACCCCCTTGGTTACTATGTTTACTTCATACTTCAGGGAATTTTGGAGGAAATGAGGCTGGATTAGGGGTGAATAGATATAAGTACCCAGAAGGGGAATCTCAACTTATTAAAGATGGAAGATAGATCTTCTATGAAAGTGGGAAAATTCTTGAATCAAATCTGCTTTAAAAGTTGGAGGACAAATAGAAGGTAGTGATTAGGCCAACAAGCTGTTCACCTGAGTAGTGTGGCAAGGTGAAGCTTTTATGAAACTCCAGAAATGTGAGTGATGCATGTTGCTAAATTTCCTGGAAGCAGCTGACCAGATCCTTTCCCACTGGGCAGTTTTTCTTTACTGGATTGTTAACTGGATACCATTATAAGAAGGAGACCACGCGAGACAGCAGCAGAAGGCCCTGAAAGATGCTCAAAGAATATTTTGGCAGAATCTGTAAGGCAGGGTCCCATGGAGTATTCTAAAGGCATTATATTCTTCAAAGAAATTTTTGTTTTTTTCTGATTCTGGGTATTGAACTCATGGCTTGGCGAATGCTAAGCACCTGTCGTATTAACTAAGCTATACACTCAACCTGAAAGGAGCAGTTTTATCTGTCAATAAGTGATGTTACTCTGCCCCTGGGATCTATGTTTTCTTCCTCATCTTTCAACCATATCCCCAGAGTCATTCTATCTGATGATGGAATTTTTTAAAGAAATATGCATGGAAAATAAATAGCTAAATGCAGACCTCTTGGATATGCCTGCATTTAGCTTGATTAGAAAAACAACAAAAACAAAAATTACTACACGATATTTTAGTTGTCTGCAAGGAAACCAACCAATGAGTAGGCTGTGGACAAAGTCTATCAGTTTACTCTTCCAAACTGGGAGATGAAAATCACATAAAAGAAAAATCTTTTGAGTGAATTTTTTTTACTGACATTTAGTGGATCAAAACTGAATTATGTTGCTACCTGTATCACATTACTCCCACAGGTGAGTTTGTGAGGATCAAAAAGAAAGGTGCTGTCCTTTGGGAGAAAGCAGTGTCTCCAATCTGAAGTCACCCAGAGATTCTATCTGCTGGACTGCCTATGTCCAAGGTGAAAGCTAGTACCTACAGAATCCAAAAGTACTTTGGATGGATAAAACAGCATATTTTATTTTTTGTTTCAGCAACTCCCACGCTGGATTCCCCTTCCTCCAGCCACCCAGCCCCATTTCTCCCCAGAGAATAGACTTCCTACAGGAGTATGTCTGTTGTCTGAAGGACGTTTGTCGTTCTGTGGGGGTATATAATATGAAAGGTATATATGGGGATAATCTACTCTTTTGCATGTGTGTTTTGTTCTCAAACCTCCAAAAATATTCCTTCATAAGCACAGCCAGATTGGACAATGACCATGGCCTGAAAAAGAAGAAAAAAGAAATGCTTCTGTAATGAACTTACATAAGACATGTACACAACCATTACTTTTGCTATTGTTTAAAGATTCTGTGTAAAATGTTAAAGAAAATTTAAAAATGTATTTTAAAGTTACAGGAAAAATGATTTATCTTCTATCAATGATCTTTTCTCTCCTCTCACTAGCCACCCGTCTCTTCTTTTATGTTTTTAAGTCTTTTGATTTAAAAAAAAAATCCAAACAGACAATCATGAATGCACATAAACTCTCTCAGCTTTAATTGGTAGATTCCTGTTATAATTATCTATTGCTACAAATGTCACATAACAAAGCACCTTAAAACATGGTTATTTATGATGCTAACCATTTATTGTTTCTTAGGTATTTTGCTGGTCTGCACAGAGCCCTGCTATTTCCTGGCAGGCTTTGTTTTGTGTCTGTGGTCAGCAGGCATGTTGGCCAGTGTCTGAATGGTCTAGGATGGACCCAGAGCCAGCAAATGTTCTTACATCTCTCCTTCAGGTGTCTCACCATTTCTGCAGGAACCTACCCAGATGCATTTTCATGGCAGTAGGAAGGACTGAAAGAAAGAATGAACTATTTTGTCAAGCCACAGCTTATGTCAGATTTTCCCCACGCCATTGGCCTAAAACAGATGGCACGGTCAAGTTCAAAATTCCTGTAGTTAAATGTATCAGCTTTCTATGTTCTGCAGCAAATTTTTGTAAACTATGCACTTTGAAATGTATATTTTCATGATTTCTAAGTTGGAAGTTTGGACACAACTTAGATTTTACAGGCTGAAATTAACACTTTGAGCTGGGTCCTTGCTTCAGTGTTCAAATGTCTTTCAAGCTTGTGTTCACAGGACTGAGCAACTAGGTGCCATCTACAGTCCCTTGCCACATTGCTCTGTCCATAGACAGCTCATATCTGGACAGCTCACTGCCTCGGTTTCCTCAGCAGAATCTCCTCATTCTGCCAAGAGGATCTCATACTCCATCCTTCACTATATGCTGGTGGTGTCTTAGTTACTTTTTATTCTTTGCTGAGACAAAATACCCTATGCCCAAATTTAGATTGGTGATTTCAGTCCAGATTGAGGTGGCTGCAGGTGGCAGGGTGGCATGGCGAGCCACAGCAAACAGCAAGATCTAACCTGGCAAGAGAGAAAGACCCACCTTTTTACCGCTGTTCCTCTGTATATCAGCTCTACCCCCTGGGTGGGTGGAACACTCACATCACCAATGCCAGCACTGGACAGGGAACCAATCATGAATGCTAGATTTAGCTGCATCCATAATTACATGAGGCCTGGGGGCAGGAGAGCAAAGGAATATATAATCTATAACAAGTGGTGATAAGCAAGTCACAGGTGTAATTCATATTCTAGGAGTGGGGCTTATACAGGGGCATAGTTCATGGAGGTCACTGTGAGGTATGTCTGCCCCAGACTGAAATATTAAAAAGCACAACTACAGGGAGACTTGAAAAATTGTGGCTGTGCAATACCAACTTCAATATCACATTACCACAGCCCAGACCTAGACTCTACCTGAGAGCCTCTGGCAAAAGCATTATGTCAGGCAGATTCACAAAAATGGTCTGAGGATGTGGGACCTGTATTTGGAACACTGGCATTTTCCATCCTAGGCTCAGGTTAGGTGTCCCCAGTAGGGTATTTGAAAGACATGCTTAACCCAGCTGATAGACAAATGTTCTTCAGCCACTGGCAGGAGAAGCAGGAACGGAAGTTATTCGTCCTCCAGAAGCCAGGGGAGTTTCAATGCATCACAATAAACATCCTTCAGATTATTAAAATCCCCATGGTATAATCTGCTGTTATTATTTCAGTCCTTTATCAAATGGGAACAAATTGATTATCCTCATTAATTATGTTTATATGGCAGAAAATAGGAGTTAAAGAAGTGAGTTATAGACTGCAGGATGATATAGCTACAAACTGCAATCTTACAAAAGATCTCGTAAGCCATGAATACAGGAAAATGTCTTCCAAATTTAAAGATTCTGTCCTTCTCAAAATGAGCATGTAATTTCATATTCACTTTAATTTTTACATAAATCTTCCTCTATAATACAGATGTAAAGGTTAAAATGTCATGAATTATGTGTGCATACAGTTTTTATTTCTTTTAACTTTTATTAGTGCATGTTTTTCATGCAGTTCACAATCACCTTGGTGAATAGTTACATATACATACTACAGCTTGTTAAATTTTTTAAATCTCATTTCCCCTCCTTTTCCCTCCCCTTTCCTTCCTCCAGTTCCTTCCCAATTTTATTTTTTTTAAAAGGAAAAAGAGAAAAAACAAAAACAAAACAAAGCGGTGTAAGGGTACAAGTAATACAGAGCTACAAATAAAGAACAGTAAGAAATCACCAGCTAATAGATTACATATTATCATCTTAGAGATAGTTGCTCGAGTCACAGTATCAAAGCATACAAAGTGGACACTCAAACAGTGAGACTGCAAACAGTTGTGTTCAATGATCCAACCAAAAACATTAATGTGGTCAGCTATTTAACACCCCTAAACACACTTGCTGTTCTATCCTCTAGAGCACTTTTCCCTCTCTTTTTTACAACAAAATTTACACATTTTGGGTTTTATTACTCCTTAGTTCTTATCACTTTTTGGGGGGGAGGGAGAGAATAAAGTCAAATATGGCAAAACAAAGCTGTCAGTCAAAACCAAGGATAGACATAGCACATGATGTAAAACAGAGTACAAGGTTATCAACAATGGTTATCAACAATGTCTCTTGTTTCCTTAAAAAGAATTGTCTATCTCATTAGATACAAAGTTGAACAAAACAGTAGAGAACAAGATCAATAAAACTTAAACATTGTAAATATTACAGGAATTCCAAATGTGAACTGCATTTGACAATATTCAAATCAGAATGGGCATCTTAGTGAATCTTATTGCCTTCAAAGTAGTTGCCTATACCCTCAAACTTGATACTATCCAACAGAATGGAACACAGTCTAATCAGTTAAAACAAGATAATGGGAGTATTACAGGACTTCAAAGCAAGTTAATAGAAAATCAGAAAAAGTTACTATTATATATCCTACTAATTTTTCCCCTTAATTAAAAAACATAAAAAAAACTAAATAATTTTTGTTTTAATGAATAAGGGAGAGGTTGAGATAAAACAGGACATAACAATATAACAATACATGTCAAAGCATGACTGTTTCAGCCATCGAGTGCTTCACTACCAAATAACCCGACTTAATAGTAGTTACCATAGTGTCTGTCTTTTTCCTTGAAATATTTGAATAAAACTTCATATACTATACCTTCAAATATTTCCATATCAAGAAGCCCAGAATAAAGCCTTTCCAATCAATAAATGAAAACTTTATAAGGCTTCAAGGAGCCCAGAATAAAGCCTTTCCAATCAATAAGTGAAAAATTTATAAGGCTTCAAGGCCACATAATGGGGAATCATGATTACCACATATTTTTATATATTTAAATCATTACTTACATTAGGGAAACTATTTGATATTCACACATGCAAGATTGATTTATTTCACATATGAGTATGGTCTCAAGCTGCACCTATTTATTGATAAATATCTCAATGTGATCCTTCTTTATAGCTGAATAATACTCCACTGTATAGAAATACCACAACTTTCTTATCCATTCCTCAGTTGGTGGACACTTGGGTTGTTTCCAAGATCTGGCGATTACAAATTGCGCTGCTATAAACATAGGTGCACATATATCACTGTGGTATGATGCTTTCAGTTCTTCTGGGAATATGCCAAGAAGTGGAATAGCTGGAATAAATGGGACTTCCAATCCCAGCTTTTTGAGAAAACTCCAGATTGACTTCCACAAAGGTTGCACCAGTCTACACTCCCACCAACAGTGTAGGAGGGTTCCTTTTTCCCCACAGACTCTCCAGCATTTGTTGTTGTTGGTTTTCTTGATCCTGGCCATTCTTTCAGGAGTGAGATGGTATCTCAGTGTGGTTTTAATTTGCATTTCTCTAATGACCAATGATGATGAACATTTTTTCATGTATTTATTTGCCATTTGTATTTCATCTGAAAAGTGTGTATTCATCTCAGATGCCCATTTTTGGATTGGATCTTTGAATTATGGGGGTCTGAGTTTTTTTAATTCTTTATAAGTTTTAGACAAGAGTCCCTTGTCTGAGAGAGAGTTCATTAAAATCTTTTCCCAGTTTGTGGGTTTTCTTTTCACTATGCTGGAGATTTCTTTTGACATGCAGAAACTTTTTAATAAGAAGTGGTCCCAGTTATTGATTCTGGGAAGTATTTCCCTTGCGGTTTGAGTCCTGTTCATGAATTCTCTACCTACTCCTATGTCTTCAAGGTTTCTACCCAATTTGTCTTCCAGTAGATTTAGTGTTTCTGTTTTAATATTCAGATCTTTGACCCATTTAGATTTTAATTTAGTACATGGTGATAGTACATGGTGATAGACATGGGTTTAGCTTTGGTTTTCGGCAAATGGAGAGCCAGTTTTTCCAGCACCATTTATTAAAGAGACTGTCATTCTTCCAGTGAATCTGCTTGGCTCCTTTATCAAAGATAAGGTGGTTGAGTGTGTTTGTGGTTGTGGTTGAATCTTCTAATCTCTTCCATTAGATCTTCGGCTCTGTTTTGATTCCAATACCATGTTGATTTTACTACTGTTGCTTTGTAGTAAAAGTTGCTTCAAGTCAGGGATTGTGATGCCTCCTCCCTTGCCTTTGCTGCTTAGAATTGCCTTTGCTCTTCTAGGTCTCTTCTGGTTCCAGATGAATTTTAGGAGTGATTTCTCTAGATCTATAAGGTATGTTGATGGTATTTTTTATTGGGATTGCATTGAATCTGTATAACAGTTTTGGGAGAATGGCCATTTTCACAATGTTTGTTCTTCCTATCCATGAGCAAGGGATGTCTTTCCATTTTCTGAGATCATCTTCAATTTCTTTTTTCAGTGTATTATAATTTTCACTGTATAGTTCTTTCACTTCTTTTGTAAGAGTAATTCCTAAATATTTCATTTTTTTGCTTGCTAATGTGAAGAGTGTAGTTTTTCTTATTTCCCTCTGTGATTCTGTTGTTTGTATATAGGAATGCTATTGTTTCAAGTGTTATTTGAAAGCTTCCTCAGGGTCTGTTGGAAATCCCCT